GTGCTTGACAGAACCATGTTTTACTCATACCTCACAACCACATGGTTAGATCAAGCACAACAGAAAATCTCGCTAAATTATAACTGCATCCACTAGGCCAAGGATAAGAGCAAGGGAAAGAGGAAGGAGTAGGAGAAAGGTACAGGATTACTACAGGTTTAATACTTCCAAGTGACATGGCATTCCTTTTACAGAATGTCCACTGCCATTGTAACAGTATTACTGTCACAGCTTGATTAAAAAGTACAGGAAACAGACCACATCAAACGTTTCCTCTACCATTTCCCACAGTCAACAGAACAAAGATAACATCCTATACATATTGGGAGAAAACATCCAGTAAGGAACTGAGGGTGGGTGACAGGGAAAACAGAAAGAAGCTCAAAGGACCTGTGGCTTCTTCTTGGACAAAGGTGGAAAGACTGAGACTAGTAGAAGAAGGTGCATCAGGGCTGGGAAGTACACTGTGATTTAGTTCAGACACTGAACTTTACTTACAGCCAAAATGGTGAACTCCTGCAAAAGTAAAGATAGCCAAGAAGGAAAGAAAGACAGAGTAATCCCAATTAAGATAAAACATGAAACTAAGCTCTCTTTCTTTACTGGATGATTAATTTGACTGTAAGATGTCGCAATGGAGCACCATCTTTAGGAAAGGATTCACTAATTCATTTTAAGTGGCATACAAAATTTCAACTAAAACCTAGATAAGGAATAATTACAAATCATGTACAGAGTGATGACGCTTCCTATGAGATATTCTTTATCATTTTAAAATAAATGTATTCCAATAATAAATTGCTCATTTATATACGTATTGCTAAGACACTTAAGAAAATATTATTACAAACACTTTAGAAAAACAGTTATAGATGCATAGAACACAATCAGCTGTATAATCTGCACCATTTTAATTTCGATTTAAATCCAAGTATGATATAGATGTGTGGAATACTTTTATGACCTAAAATGAAAGGAGGCTTTGTTCAAGTTCTTCCTTTATCAAGTTTAATAGTTTAAATGTCTGTGGTAGCATAAGTCTCATCTCTAATGATGCTTATCATTTTATGCTTACCTAGGTGTAAAGTACTTCAAAAAGGCTTACGAGCAAGATCATATGTGCTGTTTTATCTTCAGTGAACATGTCTACACGAGATGCTTACTGCACAGTAGCTCGTTACTACTATGCAGTAGTGTCACCAGGCACAAACCATGATGCGACGCTACTGCACGGTAAGTATCACTAGGCAACCATGTTGGGACGCAACTGAGCAGTAATGCTTTGGTTATGCAAGTATTAAATGACTACGCAGTAACAACTGCGTAGTCAGCGTCTCATGTAGACATGGCCTGTATGTTCAGTAAATCACTATTAGCAGTTCAAACTAAATCCCCCAAATACTTCAGAACAGCTCTAACATTACACAGTGCACATTGTACTTTTATTTGGTGGGAGTGGATATACACAGGCCGTGCTTTAAGGAAGATAGTTCTCAGCACTTCTTGATGAGCTTAACTTTTTTAGAAACTACATTTTTAAAAATGTTTATAAAATCATATAGATGAAAAACCTGAGCTGCATGTGTAGTTATACTAGCGTTATAAACTGCCTGTTAAAAATGTTTCTGGCAAAACATTTTCTAATTCAGAGACAAAAGTCACACTGGTTGAATTGAGTAAAAGTCTTGTTGTGGCAGGAATACAGCTGTTTTACTCATTAGGGAACTCAAGTGCTTCGGGGGGGGAGAGGGGGGGCCTTAAGAAATCAGATCTCCCTCTACTTTATGCTGCTTTAGACTAGTAAGTTTCTAGTGCTGCCATTGATGGCATATTGGTCCATGTTGTTTTTGCTGTTTTTTGTTTAAACTCAAAACTCAAATGAATATATTAGTAGAAGAGCACAAAAAATTTCACATGACCATCCCAGCTCTAAGAAAACATAACAACATTGCAAAAAACCAAAGCTGTTAAACACACCAGCTTAAATGGTAATGGCTAAGACTGTTCAATAAACCAGTACTCAAGGCACTGGAAAGCAACAATATACCTATAGTGCTTGAAAAAGCAAATTTATTTGTGTCATAACTGATTATGGTTGATATTATTCTATTTATTAAAATAAGATCAAAAAATATTCTTTCAGATTATATGTCTATAATTTAATCAACAGGTTCATTGTATAACTGGGCATTTTTTCCAATCAATTATTCATCACCTGTTAGGAACATAATGTAGCTGAATATTTTTTTCTTTTCTGCTAAGAAAGTGGTGCACACACTTGACAACCAAGGGAAAAGTAAGTAAAGGAACATATGTCAAAGAGCTAGGGCCAACATTAATAGTTGCTTTAGAAAATATCACAGAATTACTGTAGTTTATAGTAAAGTTTAAGTTACTTTATCATCCCCAATTCTTAAATTGCATCTTTTTCATTGAAAAGCATTCCTAATGCACGTTCTGCATGACTTTAGAATGCCTTTAATGAAGAACAAAAACATTTTTTCAGTCTTTCTATTGTGCTTTCACAAACACAGGGATCATAGTGTCACAGGTAAGCAAGCAATAGTTGCAGACAGTCAGCAGGAAACTGCTGGTTTAGAGAAGAAGAGCAAGAAATTTGCTTTAAGTTGTACTAGCTCTTTGATAGTAAGGTATTCTGTGTTTAAAAGCAGCTCCAGAGCTACATTTTAAAAACAGTGGTGTTACAATAGGTAAGTTATATAAGGTAAGTAAAGATGTCAGTTAGAATATAAAGTAGCAGGTGCAACCTTCTAACTAATGCAAATAAAAGTAACGTTTGATGGGTTATGTGCAGATCTGTGAGACAAAAAAGTATCAGGAGCTGCATGCAAAGCTCTCAATTGGAAAACAGAACTACTAGTAATCTACACAGGACTACTATATCTATCTAATGGATATTGACTATACAACACATGCATCAATTTCCTAAAAGCTACAAATTGCTTTTTTGAGAAAGAGGGAGGGTGTCTGCAGTTAGTCAGTCTTACTGCAGAACCAAACCTACCTGGAATGAAATACTGTTCTTTAGCTAAATAAAAAAGAGAAAAAATAGAAGATGCACCTGAATGTCAGCAAGCAGAGTATGAGTTCTATTAGATTAAGTATGGACTATCGTTAACTACAGATAATTACATGAAAAAATGTGTATTCACAGCAAGAGCTGATAAACAACAAAGCGTGAATAGTCATAAATGTATCCGGAACATGGACAATAAACAGTTCTTGTCTGGTATTTGCACTCGTGACTGAATAAATTGTAGAATATGAAATGCACCTGGAGCAGCTGGATACCATATGACAAAGGTTAGGATTTCGAGAAATGTAAGTAGGAAATGGAATAAGATTAGAAAAAGAAAACAGTAAATTTCAGTATGAGGTAAGCTCCCTGTGTAAAATGAACATATCATGTTTTTGTATTTAGCTGGAGATTTTTAAATCTTTCACATATTCCAGAGCCTTGTGGAACTTTTTAAAAATGATTTATGTTGATGATACTTGTACAGAATAACTGCTAGCATTTCATTCTGAACTATAATATATTACATGTCTTCTGTTTGATTTAACGCTAGTCAGATTCAGTGCCAAATGTGTTAACTACAGTAATGTTCCGTGATCAAATAGTATATGACTTTCATGATTTTCCCTCTTGTTCAACAGAAGAACAAAAAAGGTTCTGCAATGTTTAATAATTTAGTAGAGAACCAGCTGCTTTTGTCAGAACTTCTGTAACCACCATTTTTGGCAATAAAATAAAAATAGCAGCTGAACTGAGAAAATTACCTGAGCAGCGGAATTTCTTGCTTTTGATCTGGCCGATCCTTTTGTTCGCCAGACGGCGGGGGCTGGTACAACGGGCACCACTGGTCTCAATAGGGTTAGTATGAAGATAATCCGCCAGCCACTTCAGATGGCAGTCACAGATAAATGGATTCTGAGCCAAATGCCTTACATGAAAAAAAAATTTACAAAATATTTGCAGTTGGTCTCAAAATTTCTCAAGGGTTGCATACATTATAGAAAATAAAGAGAAACATAAAACCTAAATAGAAAATTGTACTACATACAACATAAATATAAGTATACATACAAAGTCTGAATTGCACGGAGAGGTGAAAAGGTGCCCTTAGCAATGGTCTGAAGCTTGTTATCATACAGAGAGAGAAGGTTCAGGTTGTGTAGATCTTGGAAAGCATCTACGCGCAGACAGTTTATCTTGTTGGCATTTAATAATCTGTTAAATCAAAGATAATTATAAAATGGAAGGAATTAGTTCACTGGCACTAAAGTTGCACTGTGGTTTTACAGAGAAACTTCTTGTTCTGGTTACAAATAAATACCAAGAATTGTTTGGCTCAGTATTATAAATAATCTTAATTAACAATGGCATAAAGCATTTTACTGAATTAAAATATCTTATTAGGCGCCCTTTAATTATTCTGTTACATTTACACATAGAAGTTGAAATACACTGAATTGCTTAGCCAAAATCTCAGGATATACACAGTGTCTGTGGGCAGTATTTTTCTAAGTAAGGAAATAAGCCTGGAAAAACAAGTATAAGAAAGGAAAACATCTCCTTTTGCCAATAAAAGAACTGAACACTGTGTTCAGTAGCTGGATGAGATGTGCAGTGGCACTTTTAATTACATGTTACTAATCAGCATGCTGCCAAACCATATACAAAGCTATAGTAAAGACTGGAAGTACAAAATAAGTCGTCTTGTATCCTGCAGCAGCATTACTCTATCTCCAAAGAGAACGCTTCCTTCCAGGTAGCTCCAAAATTTCAAATTTAAAAGCTATAAAAAAAAATCCATTATCTAAGCCCACAAGTCTTTAAACAACAACCACCATGAAACTTGATGCTTTTGTCAAGTCAACCACTTTTTTATATTTCTTTTTTTTTTTGCCCATCAGAAAATGTGTAGAACGTGTGTATTTTACATTTTGATTCACATGGTTTCAACTTATGACATAAAGGTGGATTTTTATTAGAATAAATAATGTTCTGCCAAAAAAATGTACTTCAAATAAAAAAAGCCCTGTCTGTAGAAAATGTATCCAAATGTAGTGATTTTTATACACAGCCTGAATTGAAACTGAAAAATTTTCTTTCAACTTTGAGACCTAAATGAAACTATCTGTAACTAGAGCCCCTCTCAGAAGGAACTATGGAAAATGCATTCATGACTAGTGTATCATAACTTAAAAAATAATTGTGAAACATTGCATTTTCTCACATCAATTATTTGCCCCCCTTCTTCCACAATTATTTATTTGAGACATTTTGCCAAATCACCTGTCTCTAATTTTTGGACAGCATGCGCATTTAGTTAGGTTGGTAGAAATTATTTACTGAATTCATCAGCCTTTAAAGCTACAAGCTAGTGATTCTCAAATAATACTCTGGAGAATAACACTACCGTTTTATGGCCTGTTGAACACAATCTGTTTTTAGATAGTCCTAATACTCCACTGTCATTCCTACTGATTCTTTTGACAATTTTTGATAAACATATCATGACATTCTCCTTTATACCCACTGTTAAACCAAAACATAGATGACACAAGACTACATGGGAACTGCAAGTCTGTCAAATGACTTAGCAACTGGACATAAATTCAAGACTTTCCCTCCATAAACTTCACAAAGATTTCAGAAGTTATAAAAAAAATCAGTGAAATTGTACTAATATTTGCATTTAAAATGGATGTCATTAAAATATCATTTGCATAGTAACTACACAGAGAAAATACTGTGTTAACACAGCAAGATATTTCTACTGTGGTTAATATTTGCTGTCTCATGATCTCAGTGTACCATAACAGCATGCTAATTCATCAAGGTTCATTTCATGGTTGGGCTTGCTGGCATACAGAGGGTTCACATGCATAGATCGAGAGGTCAATTTGTGGGCAACTGGCACAGCCACCAATATAACCCAGAAATATTGACTTCAGTTTTAACCACTAAAACCAAAATTAATGCTTTCACTGTGCTCCATTTTTTCACATAGGAATATAATTTCCTACACATTTTTTCTGGGTACATATCCCCTTTCCCAGTTTCTCCCCAGTTAACCCAAAATACAATAAATATTCAATAAATACTCACAGCAACTGTAGAGAGAAGAGTCCTTCAAACAGACCTTTTGGAAGTTCTGTAATTTTATTCCCATAGAGGACACTGTAATGAAAAAGTATGAAACAAGGTGGCTACTTTAAGTGACCTATGCGATCTTGTTCTGACTTGGAAGAGGAAAAGAAAAAGGAAAAAACAACTTCTTTCTTCTACTGTGAAGTGATTCTATACGTTATTTATAACTAAGAAACTTGGTATTTAAAAAAAATATGATCCCAGTAAGCTGACTGTAAAAGTGTAGGGATCTGCCCATGCAGAAATCATTGCAAGATTAGGGCCCAAGTGGTTACGTTTACAGGGGAACCCTGTCAATCTAAGCTTTAGAATCACCGAACATAGTAATTAGAAACTTTATTCTACTACTCAAGTAACTGCTCAGTGAGTGAAAAGGCCAGACCCTTCCTCTTAGTCAAGTTTGTTCAATATTTCCTACACCTGCTCATAGCAGCCAGTATAGCTGAGAAGCCAATGGATGTTTATGCCTTGTTTGTTACTCCTTATTTTTAATTCTACAAAGGACATTAAAGATAACACAGACTTTCAGGGGCAGAACTGCTTAGCTACTAATCCCTTTTTGTCCTGCTGCAATGGCACCTAATGAAATATTTATGAAGTGTGACACCATCTTTACTTTTGACAAATCAATATATTATTTATGTCAGAATATCCATCTGACTAAGAAAAATAGATAAAAAGCCAGTGAACAATTACATACTGTACCAAAGGTTTCTGAACTGCAAATCAAAAGCCCACATTGGCACCTTGTCAAGAGCCTAAAGGCAGCATCTAATATGCATGCTAATTTAGGTTTAAAAAATAAAAAGTGCACACAGCAATAATAATTCCTGGCTTGAAGTGGCAGACTTTGCAACCTAAAAATGTTTTGCTTTTAGTGCAGTATAGGCATTACATTGTATACACAGTACATTTAGCTCTCTCTAGGACTTTATCTTTTTATTTATGCCTTTCAGGTCACTGTACGCAGAAGGTGTTTTTGTTTGTTTGTTTGTTTTAATAATATATTTGGT